TGTCATCCTTGCGCAGGGGCCATGCTAATCTTCCTTGTCTGTATCGTTCCAATTTTAACAGATTTCCCGAAGGACGACCGCCGATGAATTTCACTTTTTGGTGAAGCAGAGCTGCCCCCGATAAACGAAGAAATTGTATGTGGTACGGTAAGTGAAATTCCGCAGATGAATTTCACTTACCGTACCACATACAATTTCTTCGTTTATCGGGGGCAGCTCTGTTTCACCATTACGCTCTCTGCCTCCTCAATTACAATTTACAACGGAAGGCCATACACGCGCTTTCTCAATGTGCAGATATATCATCTAATGTGTGTCCCCAGCAGAGGACTGACTGCATTTGCAGAACACAAGAGCCCGTTCCAAGACTCCCATGCGACAACAGAAGCGCTACCGCGAAAAAAACATCCATGTCGGCCTACCCCACGTGCTGCGCCACAAAGGCAGTCTGTGGTCGGGAATTTCACCCACATTTAAATTATTTTCTGAGCCCAGCTGCGAAAGGCGTCATCCGCGTTTTGTATTCGGTAAGAACACCACTCTAGAAAAAGAGCGGTAGCTGCGGCAGACTGTTTCATTGAACTGTCGTTAACCAGCTGTCAGGAGGTTTACACCACCACTCTAGAAAAGAAGGGTGGGAAGCTGCGGCAGACTGTTTCACTGATCCTCCGTTAACCGGCAGTCAGGAGGTTCAACCCCGACAGTCTGCGCAGGGCGCATTTGACTGATGGATAAGGGCCTACCGTCTTCACCCGAATAGAACGCCCAGTCATTATAGCTGTATGTGGCACAACTTTCTGGCCAGATGCCGCGATAACGACCGCGCGTTCTATTCGGGCGAAGACAGTAGCTCAGTTGGAGAGTTAACCCCGACGGCTTTGCCAAAAGTTACTGGTACCCGAGAGAGAAGTGGTCAATTTGACCGCGGGCGGGCCTAGCTCAGTCGGGACACCCATGAACAGGTTGAAATGCAGACCTGGAGCTCGAATCCAGATAAACAGAATAAAATAAAATAATTCTGCATTTACCTCGGGCTGGTCATTATGATGACGATATCGTGATATCTCAAGGGGGGGTGGGGGTGGGGGGGCTACTGTTTTTGAAAAGAGGTAAACTGTACTCCCATGTCTGTGTCTGTTTGTGCGTGTTGTCATATTCGCTATACACTTGAAAAAAGCATGACTGTGCCAAACAGACTGTTTCGTCGGACTTTCACCGACTCATCGGCAGCAGGTTGAACCCCGACAGCCTGCCCAGGATGCATTTGACTGATGGATAAGGACTCGCCACATCGCCCAGAGTTAGCGATACCCCTGTGTGTGTGTGTGTGTGTGTGTGTGTG